TTCTAATTACAAAGTAAAATTAGAATAACACGACATTTTGCAGGATAATCAGAATTAATATTTTGCTTTTTAAAGTAAAATTTTCTTATGTCTTTCTGCATTTTAAAACAAGGTTATGCATGCACTTTTTATGCAATTTTTTATAAATTTCCTTTAAATATTTTTAATACAAAAAAAAGAAAAAATTCAAATTACCAAAATTACATTTGCTTTTTTTTTTAATAGCAGACCCAGCTGGATTATGAATATTTTCTATAAATAAAATTATAAAGCCTAAATCAAATTAAAATCGATTATTAAACTTTATTAAAACATTTTTCCTCCTTTCATTGTTGTTTTTGTTGTTTGCCATTTGCATAAAATTGTTTGTTTTCTACTTTTTTGTTTTTTTTTGTCCTTCAAAAATTAAATTCTACGGAAATCTCTTTGGAAACCTCTTGTTGTTGACCTTTTTTTTTTTTCTTTTCTGCTTTCTGTTTTTTTTTTTATTCTTCTAACTTTTTTCATTTCCCATTCAAAATTTTCCTTTGTTAATGCTTCATTTGCTGTGAGGCAAGCACTTAATATGAACGTTTTAAAGTAGCATTTTTTTTTCTATATAAAAAATTTGCTTTATCGTTTGTGTTTCTTTCCTTTTTTGAAATTTTTTTCTTATTGCTAAAAGCAATTTTTATATATATGTACATACATACTTCTTACATGTTTAAAATATATGTATGCATATACCAATATACAAGACCATATACATATATGTATATAAAGTCATGTTTGCTTGTATAAACGTGAATTTTTTAGAGAATGAAATATTTTTTCTGCATTCTAAAATCTCTTTTTAAGATAGAAAACCTACATATTTATAGTTGTACGTACGTACGTATACATACATACAAATGTATATTATATTAAATATATTTCTTTGAGAATGAGATCTGGAATAACTAGGCAGGAAATTACATACAATTTTATTATATGTTTGAATGTATGTGCATTCTACGTAATATAATTTAAAAAGATAAATAAATTTTTACCGTATTTTTTTCCGGCTTCAATATACGAATTTATTTATTATTTAAAGAAAAAAATATTAAAAGGTCCAGGTGTAATCTAAATTCCTCTAAGAAGTAAAATCCCTACACCTATATAAATATTTTCTACATACTTACATATATAATATAAATTTGAATAAATCTTATACGCACCTTTATTTAACTTTATTAAGTTTCTCTTTATTATTAATACCCTCTGAGAGTAATTTGATTTATTGTAACCTTATAAGTATAACATGTTTGTGAAAATTTACTCAAATTTTTATTAACACTCAAAATTTACTTGAAAATTGAAATCATGTAAAATTACTTATTCGGATCCGAGTGGTAAGAAATTTAAATTTCTCTCTCTCTCTCTCTTTCCTTTTCATAAGTTATGAGTTACTACATCATTGTTATAATTTTTACTGATTACTATTAGTATACGTGGTTGGCATGAACCACAAAATGTGAACAGAATTTCTCCAAATTAATTTGAATTCTTTTAACAAAATTTCGAAGCTCTAAATAAAATTGTTACTGCCTCGACAATTCAATATTATTTTGTCAAAATTCTTCAAACATTAAACTCAATTTTAAGACATTTTTCAGGACTACCGAATTTTTCGAGCTCTCAGGAGTTTTTTTTTCTCCTAACTTATCTCCGCATTTCCTAATTAAAGTGCAATTTAAATTTCGCTCTCTTTCCCCTCCCCTGTTTTTTTCGCAAATTTATTTTGTTTACTGTCATCTAACAAAAACTTATCTTACTAAATCGATTGACATCACAGTTAAAAGCAGGTGCATTTATTTTTCACTACACTTCTACAAAAACTGAAATATTTTTTCTGTTTTTCTCTCAAAACTTATTGAAATGAAATCTAAAGAAAAAAAAATAGTAAAATATGTTCTTTTATATCTGAATATTTTTCTGTGAGTAAAAGAGAAAAAAAAATTTTATTTTTCAATTCTAACAAAAAAAAAAAAGAAAAAAACAAAAAAATGGCAGAAATGAAAAAATATTAAAAGGAATTTAAGAAAAATTTTAAAGAAAATTGAGTTTTTCCTTTTGCAAAATCTCGAATATTTTCATATTGTTTAATTGTATCAAGGTATTCTGATGAAAATACTAGAAAACACTAGAAAAAAAAAATTATTATTATATTTATACGAACCGTAAACACACATAAACACACATAAAAAAATTCAATTTTAATAATAATATGTAAAATAAATTTATGCTCTCTACAGGGTGATTAATGAATTGAACATCGAATATTTTTGAACCATAGCTCATAAAATAAACATAAAATAAAAATAATTAATTTTTAATTTACACGGCAACTCGAAGCGCTCTCAAATTTAAACATTTTATATCTCTTTACCCTAATAAGTCTTTTCATTAGAAAAAAATCACTTTGTGTCATAATTTAATTGTTTCTTTAGGCTTCTTTAAAATTATTACTTCTATAGATTGAGCAAACATATTCAATATGAGAATTACATATATCAGTCATAGAATATTATAATAGTACGAGTGTTAATATTTTGTTTAATAGAAATTCCGAGGTCTTCTCAAGTCGTGCTAGTATTAATGTTCTAGCATATGTTACAAAATTTTATTTGCGGAAATATCGGCAATTCAATTAAAATGCAAATTTTGGTTTGTTTTTACTTCTGAAATTTTGGTGCATTGCTTATATCATAAATATCTTGTACATAGTTTGAAATAAGAACTGTCGATGTAGTTTTTAGCTGTTAAATGAAATTGTTATTGGGTAATGTACTCTTTTTCAAATTACGGGGAATATCAGTTTGCAATTTGTTTTTTTATAATAATTCTGATTTTAGTATATTCTCTTATATCTTCTCTTAAGCCCGTCATATAATATTCCGATTACACCCTGTTTTAAAAGAAAATTTCCCTTTTTCTCTTTTCTTATTTTTTTCTCTTTTCTTTTTGATATTTACATACCTAGCAAAAAAACTGCAACTTATCTTAATAAAAAAATAAAAAAGGATATTGAAAGATCTTTAAAAAATACACACACACACACTATAAATACGAGTAGAAGAAGAAGAAAAAGAAGGAAAAATAAATTTAACAAATGTTATTCAAAAATTACGAAGGAAATGAAACATTTCATTGTCAGATTTCCATAATAAAATTTTTCCATCAATTGAATTTATATTAAAAAAAAATAAAAACAGAAAAAGGAAGAAAATATTTTTTATTCAAAAAAAAAAAAAAAAATACACAATAAAAAAATCTTATAGAATTGCAATTAAAAAAAATATTGAAGAAAAAAATTATTTATTGTTATTGTTATATTTTTTCTTTTAATTAAATTTAAAATTTTTAAAATCATATTTTTTTTAATATTAAGATTTTTCTTTATTAAAACCTGTTTTTTATTTTTGTTTCGAATAGCTACATATTTGCTTTAATACCATAAGAATTTTTCTATTTAAAAAAGGATATCTGCATGGAAAATTATGAATTTTTAAATTTTGAAATTTAAAATAAATATCTATAGATAACCTAAGCACTCGACTATTTCTTTAGTTATTTATAATAAAATGCTTTAAAATATGCAACTTTAAGAAACATTTTGACTTAATTTATAAAAATATAAATTAAATTGGGAATTCTTCTAGTAGAGCAAAGCATTTTCCTACGGTAAGTATTATGAAAATTAGTAAATTTTACGGAAAAGGGCATACGAAACTGTTAAATACCTGCGAAATTGAAATGTGCTCAATATTTAAGTTAAGCGCAAAACATATTTCTAGTGCCTTGTTTAGTCAGGTAATTTTCAGCAGTTTGTATTTTGTATTTAAAGTGCTTAACGGACCGGGTCATTCCAATATTTTTGCTACTCCTATAATTTTTACACCAAATTAGAAACAATGTCCATATTAATAGAGTTGGTTTTTTCAACGAGTTTAAGTTACTAATCCAAGGTTATTTAATAACTTACCGGAGGAATTTAAAGTCTATTCAGAGTTTGATTTTTTAAAAAAAAAAATTAAGATCTTTCATATTGTCTAAGTACGATTATATGAAGTTACCAACCTGTTAACAGTTACTAATTTTTACTGGTTGATTCCTACTGATGTTTATTCGGTTGAGGGAATAATTGTATATTTTTATAACCACTGCTTCTTTACATACAGCAGATTTTTAATACTGTACTGTTGTAGTGTTTTTAAGTAGTGTGTAACAAATGTGCAACACCAACGGAAAAAAATATAAACATTCACAAACAAAGAAAACAAAGTACACAAAAGTCTACAAAAAAGTTTACAATTGTACAGAATTTTTACTTTTCCTGTAAATATAAAAATTTAGAAATTAGTTCCTGCAATCAATACTAGCAATCCACTAAACATTATTAGAACTTTAAGTTCTACATCAAAATTTATGAGAATTCTCTAGAAGACAAATAAAATTTATTGAGAATTATTTGTTTTCGTAAAAAAATACAGGCCACTAAACGTTTATTTCTCACTTTGAAAAGTTCACAACAAACACTTGTGAAACAAAAATCTGAACTGTGGCTCTTATTTAAAAAAATATGCATGTGTGCAATTAAAGTAACGCGTTCAATCGTCACGGCAGTTATCACCTTTTCACAAAAACATTTTAAAAACAGCAGCATCAAAAATCATAATATTCTCGGACTAATTTTTTTAATTCAAAAAAAAAAGAAACAGAAAATTTTTAAAATAATTTTTAAATATTACAAAAGTTTAGATAAAAATTTTTAACTTATTTCTTGTGTTTTAAACAAAAATTTTTAATAGGGAAAATTGCCATAAGGATTACATTTTAAAAATATATGAAAGTGTGCCACCATTCTGGAAAAAAAAGTTTCTTTCTTTGTTTTAAATTTAAATTAAAAATTACATTATTAAATTTTTTTTTTTATATTTTATTTAACTTGTTTTTTTTTCTTCTGCTCTTATTTTTAGGACGAAATGAATTAATAGCACGATATATTAAACTTCGGACAGGAAAAACGAGAACAAGAAAGCAAGTCAGCTCACATATTCAAGTTTTAGCCAGAAGAAAATTAAGAGAAATTCAAGCCAAAATAAAAGTTGTAAGTATTAGACAAAAAAAAAAAGAATTAAAAGAAAATTTTCTCGATTTTCCTTTTCTTTTTTTTTAACACACATTTTAAATCTTTATTCCTTTACCAATTTCATTCGTAAGAAAAAAATATTCTTGAAGAAGAAAATTTTAAACTTTATGATACTTGATGAAAAAAAAAATTAATTTCTTTCTTTATTCATTTTTTTTTTTTTGCAAATTTTCTTAAATGGCCCCAAAGCAATAATGTAGAGAAAAAGAAAAACACCTAAATTTTATAATTCAAATTCTTTGTTTTTCTTTTCTTCATTTTCGTGTCATTTTCTTTTTTTTTTCTTTATATTTAAAAGAAACTTAAGTAATTGAATTGAATAAAGTTTGTGTATACATAGAAAGGTCCTGAAGCTATCTGGAAAATAGATATTGTCTTTTTAACAAGTTTAAAATCAAAATTTATGAAAAACTTTTAAAAATTTCTATAACTAGATGCTCATTAGCACGGTATTTTGGAAAGTAAATGTCGTTATTCAAATGAAAACACTATAACAATGGTCGAATTACATTGAATTGGAAAATTGTCCTAATATAAATCTGATTATGTATTTTTACAGTGCAATATTGCATTAAGCTAAAAATCTAGTACCCTGAATTTAAGATTTATTTGACATTACAGTTGAAATTTTATATGACACACGACTAGTATTCGCAATATTTATCTATACGAGTAGTATTAAAAAATAATGTAGTTGAATGTATAGACTGCAGTTTCTTTTACATTATTATAGGGATTAAAATGTTGTTTTAGGTAACAAAATGTTAAAATCATTAAAATTCAATATGTGATTTAGAGTTCAATAGCAATTTTTATTAATTTTATCCCTTAAAATTAAATAACAATGTTAAAAAAATATCTTTTGTATCAAAATAATGAAAAGAACTTACCCTTACATTTTAAATAAAAAATGTGTAAATGTCAAAATTCTACACAAAAATGTATACAAAAAATTTTAACTGCACAAACTGCAACACTACTATATTATGTTGACATTACATTGCATAAATACCGTATTTGTGCAATCAAAAGCCTTTCTCGAACAATTTCATAACCTAAAAAAAGCTGAGAGTACACAGAATTATTTAAAAATTTTTTATTCTTACACATAAGATAACTTTAGAAATAAAGAAAACTAATACTATTTTATGAGATTAAGAAAACGCAGACAAAATACGAATTAGCTTTCATTCGAAGAATTGTGATCCAAATATGTTACCGGTTCAATCCTAAATGAATCTGGAATAAGAAATAATTTTCTAATTTTTTTAAGTTTTTCATTATAATTTTATTTTTTTAACTTTAACTGTCCTACGGTAGATGACTCTGTTACATTGCAATAATTTCATTTTATTTGTTTTTCTCATAGTTACTTAAAAAATTGAACTTTTTTTTTCCATTTCTCTTTTCTATTTTTTAATTTTATCTTTTGATTTTTTAAGTTTTTTTTTCTATAGTCTTTATAATTTAGTTTTTTTTTTGTGTTCTTACTTGCGCTTTTCAAAAGCGAAAACATTTTCTGAGACAAAGTTGTGAAAAACTACAGTAAAATTAATAGAATTTTTACAGAAAAGTTTTTACATTTCTTTTACTCATTTTATTAAAACAAAAATAAAAAAAAGGAATTCTTTCCATAAAATTTTGTTTTTATTTTTTTACTTTTCATTTTTTTTTTTTTGAAAGTCCAAAACTATAGACTGACTTTCCTTTATTTTAACCAGTGAATTTAGATGACTCTTTGAATAGTTTCGGGTAAAGTTTTTCACTTAATTTCTAATTTCATTTTTTGTCTTTTTTTCATTTCTCTACGTATACGTTTTTTCGTTTAAAACAAAAAAATAAGTATATTTGAACAAAAACAGATACATACATATATATAAACGTTAGAATGAAAGAAAAAAGGTTTAATATACAAAATGGACCTTATTTCAACAACAGAAAATAAGGTGGACTTGATATTTTATAAAAATTCCGACCTGCTATAGGATAATGTGTGTTGTTCTTTTACTTCAGAATTAAGTAGCGCGTTGCAAGTTGATATTTCGATTATGTAAGCAAGGTGTCGTACAACACCGAAAATTCTGTAAATTTAATTGTTTTTGAAAACAAAAAATCAGTAATTGAATTTAATAAAACCAAAATTGTATTTAACCTCAATCGACTTAACTTAATTGAATTGACAATGCCTGCGCACTGAAATTTCCTCCTGCTTTTCCACATTCACACACATACATATCTACATAAGCTTTAGTTTTCTTATGCAATTCCCAAAGATTGTTACAAACTTTCAACGAGTCACAAAATGTATTTTAATTGAAAAATTTCTGAAAAATTTTATTTGAGAATTGCAAAATATTAAAAAGAAAAAAAACGCGAGAAAAAAATGTTAAAGGAGAATAAAAAAAGGAAAACACAGAAAAATAAAATAAAAAAATAAATTTTTAATTAGTGCAAGAATTGCAGTTAATGGCAAAGTTTATGTTGCTTTTTTTCTCTATCTCTTTCTTATTTTTTACTTTAATTTTCAAAAAGAATGACATTCAGGAGCAACCAAAATGAGGTTCAGGTCACAAAAAAAGTATTAATAATCTAAAATAGTGTTGCTGAGTTGAAAAAAATTAATTTTTAATGTATCAAAATAAAATGAGATTTAAAAAGAGAGACAAAATCACTTTACTCTTTCGAAATAGTTTTGAATGAGGGTTTAAGTTTCTTATTATTATCGACTATAAAGTGAATGAAAATTTGATTTGTATTATTCTTGAATGTTGTAGAACATACATATGTAACTCATATCTGATATCTTAAAATGAGGACACTCATTTGTGTAAAATTGTGAAGTTAAATAGGCAATAAATATTAATAAACTCAAATAATGCGGCTACATTCCTTTGATACAATTGTTATAATCACTATCGTAATCCTTATTTTCTTCAGTTAAGATGAGAAAAAAGAATCAGAAATATCCAGGTTAAAGAAAAAATTTTTTGCTAGTTGACAAAATGAAAAATAAAGTTGAAAAATATATAGAGAGAGAATTGTAACTGAAAATGTGAAAAATTTATAAAGTAAAGTAAATATAAAATAAAACTTTAGTATACGTACAGTGAATTCACTGGAATAAAAAGAATCTAACAAAAATAACTGGTTACAAAGTAAAAATAGTGGAAATTAGTTTTCAGTTACTTAAGTGCTTCAAAATGTTCTTAATTAACGACAAATAAAAAGAATTCTGTTTTGACCATTACCGTGCAATACCAAACAGCACCGTAGTATAAAATGTATACAAAAAACGAGTAAAAAGGAATCGGTAGAAGTTAAAAGAGGAATGTGAAATGAATGAAATTGAAATATTGAAACAATGACGTTATTTTTTTCTTTAAAGAGTTTTGTTGTCTACTCCCTTGTGATTATTTGAGTTTTAATTTAGAAAACTATTTAATTATTGTTAAATACATTTTAACACATTGTTATATAAAAGAAACAAACTTTAAGGGAGCTTAAAAGATTAAATTTGATTAAATTTCCAATTTAATTTTTCAATTATTTCGGAAATATTGTAGATACTAGAGTACTATTAGATGAAATTAAACAATTTTATTGAAGTTATAGCAACACAAAATGACAAATGTAATCTTTAAAGTGAATAAACATTTTCTAGTCAAATTTGTATCAAAACAAAATGTCACTTAGGGAGTAAATCATTTTCTTGACTAGTTAGTATAGTAAATTTTTGACAGTTCAATTCATTTTAATTTGTTCTTTAAAAAAATACCAACTATTAAGTTTATAAATATAAACTTTCCGTGTCAATGTCTTTTTTTTAAAAAGCAAGTTGTTATTGTCATTCTGCACAAGGAAACAGGGTTTATTCATAACGCACATGACACAACAATGCGTAAACTTCCGTATTAATTAACAAAAAATTGTGTAGTTCAACTTCCCTTTTGGAAAAATTTTTAAGTTCTATATTTTGAATTTGAATGCTTCTAAAATACATAAGTAAACTTAACTTGATTTATTAACAATTTTTAAAATAATTTTCAATAATTTTAAAAATTATTTTTAATTTATTTGCACCAATACTGTATTTATTTTGTTCTTATTTTATTTTTAATTTTCTACAAATCATGGAAAACTGTTTTCTTACTTTAAATATGCAAATTTTCAATTGCAAATGATCATAAATTCCACAATATTAAAAAAAACAATAATGAAAAAAATGTAAAACACATACACACATACGCACAACATATGCGCTGTTAAATTAAATAACAAAAAATCAAAAAAAAAAAAAAAAACAAAAAAATTAGGATCATTATGGTGAAAAGGAAAAAGCTCTTCATTCAATTTCAAATATGACAAGCGCACAAATTATAACAGCAGCAAAAGTTGCAGCATTAGCTGCTAATGCAATAGGTTCACCGGCACAATCGTCATTTCCACAACATTTAACGGGTTGTACATTAACATCACCAACAAATATTGGTACAATTTTAACTTCAGCATCATTACCACCACCTCCGCCAACACACCATCTTCAATTACATCAACACCATCGTTATTCGGTACAGCATCATCTACATCCGACATCAGTATCGGCCACATCACCATCACAACCGCCACCTTTATCTTATCCAGGCGTAAGAAATAAACCCATATACAGATGTATAATACAATCATATACAAAATATCTACACAATAATGTAGATGTATATGCGTATCTACACATCGTACATATATGTATATTCCTTCTGTCATCTTTAATTTTTTTTTTGTTTTAAAATGGAATTATGCCACTTATGCTTTTTGCATTTTTTATTTAATATACTTACAGCTTTTTTAAAATATTTTATAGTAGCTCCCATATAAGCGGCTCATAACAGAATATTTAGTCGTCAATTTAATAATTGTATATAATAACAATGCTCTTCATAATAATTTCAAATAATTAATAAAAAAAAATCATACAATCAAAAAATTCATTTTAATTGAGCGCATATGAGTGTATGTGTGTGCGTGTTCATTGATATTATGTCAAACAAGAGAAATATGAAGTATGCTAAAAGTAAATAAATATGCTGCTGCTTACAATACAAAATATTAACTTTCATTCAAATCACCATAAAACACTAATGTTAATCTTAGAAAATAAACGTACATACATACATACTTTATGTATGGATATATTTTAATAATATGCATGTTAGCCTATTAAGTTTTGAATTTGAATTACCTTAAAATGTATAACTTTAATTCGGATGTTAAAGAATATTCCACGACTCAGTTAACACGATTTTAAATGAACAATACTTCAAAAACATACCTAAGAGGAACTAAATGAAATTGGAGAGCATGATTTTATAAAAAAAATATTCTCAAAAATTTATTTATGTACTTAGTTAAAACATATTTCATTTCGCTTTCGGTAACCCATTGTTTAAATTTATTTTGAAAAACTCCGTCTTCAAAATTTCATGAAGTACTGTAGTTTAGATAAAATTTAGCAGTTCAATAAACGATCGCTTTACTGACAATTAAAAGATTTCAAACTAAAAAAAAAACAGAGACAAATGAATTCAAGCAGATGGTTTTAATTTATTTTAATTCTTCTTCATTCTTGTGTTTCTTCAATTAATTTAAAACTCGACACATTTTAAACTTTTTTATTAGAAAATCATAATTTTTGATGACAAAATTTCAAAAAATACAATCATTTTATACCACCAATTTGCAAAAACATATTTTTAAGCCGAGTATGAATATTAGGAATTATTGTATTGCTTCCGCATCAAATTGAACATGGAAGAGTGAAACTGTGAATGAATTTCTAAGGTTTAGTACAACTGAAAAACAAAAAAAAAAACTTTTATTTGAAGCCAAAATTCAAAGTTACACTCATCTGGACGTGAGTATTTTTGCCTTTGAAACGTTTTTGTATGTCTTTTATATATTTTAATATGGATTTTAATGAATTCTTTGAAATACTCTTCTAAACGAGTTGAGGACTATGCTCTTAAATGAAATTAAAGAACCCATAATACGTGTGTACAGCTTCAATACTGCAACTAATTGTGCAAATCAACCATAAATTAAATCATTTTATATGTATTTGTGCGAATTATATAAGTTTCATTTGTAACAATAAGTCATAAAAAAATTTATCATCAATTTCATTTCAGCTTTTCTTTTCAATATGGTCAATTTTACAAATTAAATTATTTTTAAATTTTAAATAAAAATCAAATCATTTCAATAATTTTATTATTTTTCTTTTACAGCAATTTTGGCAGCCAGGATTACAGCCCAGTACTTCACAAGAGTAAGTTTTTAATATAATTTTTCTTTATCATTGCAACTATTGGATATTTAATGCAATCGTGTCGATTTCTTTAAATAAATTTAATTTCTGTAATGTCAAAACAAATTTTAATTTCGTTTCTATCAAAGTACAATGACATAAATTTTCTGTATACTCATTACAAAATTCTACTAAATTCTTTTAAGACTCTACAAAATTTTTCCTCTAATTTAGCCAAAGAGTTTTGAACACAATATAAAATAATTTGATTGCTGAAATTCTGAATCTGTCAAACAATAGTTAATTATGGAAGATCAATTTAATATGATTATAAGTAAATTTAAATTCCTCTAAGGCTTGGCACCAATTGACATTACATTACATAAAATTCCTGAAATTACAAATTTTATTAACTTTATACCATTTCTAGTTTTTCAATTTTAAAATTATTATACATACATAAACATAAGTATTTATATAAATACCTCGATACATAAAATTTCATAATTCTACAAAAGTGGTAATATATTCAATCATGGTTACATTTTATTGCATTTTACATTTTACTAAATTAAATATAAATGTTATTAAAAAACAAGAAATATTTTTGTTTTGTATTTAATTTTGAATTTTTTTCTTTATTTTCATTTCACCCCATTTTCCTATTTAAATATTTAAATTGAAAATTTTCAAAAAAAAACTGTTGGTGCAGTATTAAACCATTTGCACAACCACCATATCCATCCGGTAAACCATCGACAGCTGTTTCAGGTGATGTTGATGCTGGCCTACCATCACAGCCTCCATGGGAGAGTCGAGCAATAGCAACGCACAAATTTAGATTGTTAGAATTTTCAGCATATATGGAAATCCAAAGAGATGAAATTGTAAGTATTTACAAATAAAACTATTTTTGTATGTAAAGTAAAAAAAAGTCAAGAAAATTGTTAAATTACTTCTTTTCAAAAATACAAAAAACCTTACCTTAAAATACTTTAAATAAATAAACGCCTAACAGACATTCATAATCTGGGTTATTGACTTTCCTCCACCAATTGACATAACATTCATAATCTTTGATTAAACAATTTTTAATAATATGTAAATATAAGCCGTTTTCGAATTTTTAATCGAAAATTAATATTTTGACAGCTGCGGCATAATCAATAGTTAGCCATTAATATATTTGAGCACCAATTACTTGACATTACTTTGTTTAGCTTTCAACAATATTTGAACCAAAGCCGCCATCTATAAAGTTTTTAACCTTAAATACAAAAGAGAATTAATCTATTATATTTCTTTTCTTTTATCTGCACATCAACAGTATCACAGGCATCTATTTGTTAATTTAGGCGGTAGACCCACATATTCAGATCCACTTTTGGAGGTAAGATTTATAAATAAAATTTGCATTATTTTTTTTTGCTCAAATAAAAATTAACTAATAAGAAATTTTATAAATACATAAATAAATAATTAATTAATTCCTTTCTTTCCTCCACTTTTAATATAAAGAGCGTGGATATTAGGCAGATATCAGATAAATTTCCAGAAAAAACAGGCGGCCTTAAAGATTTATTCGATAAAGGGCCAGCAAATGCTTTCTATTTAGTTAAATGTTGGGCAGATTTAAATACAACAATAACAGATGAAACGGGTGCCTTTTATGGAGTAACCAGCCAGTAAGTATTAAAAAAAAAACAAAAAAAAATTTCTACGTAATATTTATTTAATTAAAAATATGTACAAAAAAACACTTCGACCTCAAAATATACATATTTATATTTTGGGCTATGTGTATTTGAAATTTTGTAGATTAGACACTGAATTTTAATAATCTGATGATTTTCCAAGGAAACTATTTATCATTTTGTTAAAAAAGAAAGAATTCTCCTCTTCATTTTCCCTGTTATCAATACTTACATTGACCTTTTTTAAAGAATTACTTCCCAATTCTCTAAGCAATTTTTACTTTTTTGTTTTTTTTTTTTATTCATCTATGACCCATCAAATTCATTCCGGAGAAGTTTAAAAAGAAAATAAGTGATTGTAAAAAGGAAATTTCTTTGGAGGTTAACATAGGAAGCGAAAATCCATAAATAGTAAAAAAAATCATTTATTACGGTTCCCTGTGTGGTCGTGAAAAAATCATATGTTCTGAATTGTCTTTGTGTCAAAAATTTTCTTAATTTTGCGCAAATGGGTTGCATTTTTACCTACATATACGCATGTATTTACATTCTGTCAAGTACGAAGGTTGATTTTCAGTCAGTACCTTAATGCTTTATAATCGGACTTAAATTATTAAAATTTTACTAAGCATAAATAACGAACGAACAATTTCCATTTTTAAAAATATTTTTGAATTTTTCATTTCAAAAATTCTGAATAATGATTTCCTTTCAGCTTTCAGTAGATACTTTTAAAGTAATTTGTTATTTTTCATTTTGAAATTCTAAGAAAATAGAAAATAAAAAAAAAATTAATTTTATTTTCCATTTAATTTTTTTTTCCAAACCACAAAGGTGAACTGAATGGCTTTAACATGAAAGTAGAAAATTTATTAGAAAAGGTTTATAAAAAAGTTTTTTTTTGTTATATTTATTGTTACCAAAGATTATTGGGTCTATCTACATTATAGAGAGGAGACTGTGTTATCAAAGGGTTGTGCACATATTTCTATTAACATAATATACGTATATGTGTGTATGTTGTACAATAGATATAAATATTATGGAAAAATTTAATTTGTTTTATCCTTTTTCCACTGATTATCCTTTTTTTTCATCTTCTCATCTAATAAATTTTATTTTCTTTTTAAACCTTCGCTATAAACTTATGCACATACATACATACATACATAATTTTTTATTTTTTTGTTTGTAAAATATTTTTTTTTAATTTTAAAATTAATTTTCTTTTTTTCCTTAAATTATGCTGCTTAATATTAATTTTTTATTTTTTTTTCATTCAAATAGGTATGAAAGCAATGAAAATGTTGTGATAACAGTTTCAACGAAAGTTTGCTCATTTGGTAAACAGGTTGTTGAAAAAGTCGAAACAGAATATTCACGACTGGAAAATGGAAAATTTGTTTACCGTATACATAAATCACCAATGTGTGAATATATGATTAATTTTGTACAGAAATTAAAAACCTTACCTGAACGATATATGATGAATAGTGTACTAGAAAATTTTACAATATTACAAGTAGGTATCAACTGTAATAAATGGGTAAATAAAGAGTATATAACACTCTCAACTACTGTAAAGTATTAGAGAGCAGTTTGTTAATAGGATACTCTGTTATATGACTATTCTATTAAGCATGAGTAAAAATTATTGCAATATCAAACTTGCACATTTAAATTATTAAAGGAAAGAATTATTCCTTAGTATTGATTGTAGTTGAAAGTATTATATAGACTGAATATTATCCGTTTGAAGTGTTATATTAAATATACCCTAAAATGAAATGCAATCAATATATGAAGTACGATATTCACAAATATAAAAGTTTATTATTGTACCGAATTTATGTTTTATTATTTTATTTTAGTTTTATTATTGTACCGAATTAATGCTTTTCATTCATGTTTAGTTTTCCCTTCCTTTAAAACAATTAAGTTAATTATACTTTATATTTAATGTAATTTTAGGTAGTGTCAAATCGAGAAACACAAGAAACCCTCCTATGCATAGCATACGTATTTGAAGTAGCGGCCTCGAATTGTTGTACACAGCATCATATATATAGATTAATAAAAGATTAGCAAGAACTGGATAGTAATTATTTAACAAATAATTTATTACAACAACCACCACCACCACAACAGCAACAATCAATACTGCAACAACATCAACAATTATCAGAATCAATAATAAAACCATCATCAATAATTGGATCATCTGCAATTGTAGGACATTCAAATATTGTTGATGATGACGATAGATCAAAACATCATCATCATCATCATACAAATCTTATTGCTGATAATAGTAATGATGTTAACGATAATGATGACAATGTTAATAGTAATAGCAATAATAACGATAATGATCATGATGATATAATATCACCAACAAAAATTTTATCATATAAAGATAAACTTCAAGTTCAAATATCAAATTTATCACAGCAACAGCAGCAGCAACAACACGAGCAACAGCAGTCGCAACCAAGAGATATTGAAATAATGATAAGAGCAAATAATAACAATAATTCAAATAATCATAGCAGTAATATTAACAATGATAAAACTAATAATAGCAACAACCATCAAAACAATAATAGTATTAATTTAAATAATAATAACAATACAAATAATATCGAAAATTTATCAAGAATTTCAGAAACAAGTAACAATAATAGAATTAATAATAATAGTAGTAATAGTATTAATAATCATATTAGTAATAGTAGAAATAATAACGAATCATTTAATTTAGTATCAGTTGCAGCTGCTACTGCCGCTGCAACAGAACAACAAACAATAACAACAATTGAAGAAACTTTAAATGAAAATAATAATGTTACATCTTCAGTAATTACAACACATAATTTATCTCAAAATTTAGGAATATCAAGTAAATATGAAAGTTTTCTTAAATTAACTGAATTTGAAACATTAAGTAATACATTGAAAAGTAATTCTGTTCGTAAATTTGGTTTAATGTTTAGTAATGATGATGATGATAATGATAGTAATAATAATCATGATAATAGTAATAATAGAAATCATACAATTGACAATATTCAAGATCGGCAAATATCAAAATAGATAACAGATTTTAAATCGTATACAGTTACCGTGATGTTAAATTTACTTTGTACTCTTAAACTTCTTCTTTATGCTGTTCAAAACATTTCAATTACGAATATTATGATAGAAATATTAAATTTTATGCTATAGAAGAACAGTCGATATTTTGCTTTTAAAAAAGGTTTGAGTTTCACTAAAATCTAAGCATATCCAATTTGAGATTTTTTTTATTCCAAAAAACCAAAACCCCAGTTTACCAAAAATTTTTCTTCCCTATTTTTAGATATTTCTTCTTGAATAAGAGCTCAATAGTTAAGATATTAAAATGTTCACTCTTATTTTATTAATTATTTTTATACTTTGATTAAATGAAATTTAATACAAGAAATTTTCATTACCATATTGAAATATGTATTGATAAATAAGTTTAGTTTTTATGTTGACTAGTAAAAATGACTTCAAAAACGAATGAAAGAGAGTATGGCACTTCTAAGAAAACTAAAATTTTAGTTCTCATATAGTGACCATAAAAGCTTTGGTTTCTTTCAGGCATTCCTTAAGTCATATTGGTTTAAGTTGCAATATTCAAAAACAAATATTTCATCAATTTTTTTTATTGAACATTATTTTTTAATAACTTACCAAATAACAACTGAACAGATTTGCAAACGAAAATGATCATAAATTTAAATAGTGCCTATCATATAGATCTAATATACATATATGTATATATAATAATATATAAGTGTTAATAGAAAAATGTATACAACACATACATACCATACAAGTAAAATATAACCACAAAATAAAATTAGAAAATATTCTCATAAGTATAAGTAAAATAAATCATTTGATTAATAATACTAAAAAATTTTATGTACAAAATCGATAATAAACGAAATTAATAAAATAAATTTAGAAAATTAGTTTAAATAAAATAAATAAAATTCAATATTTTTAATTAAAAAATTACAAATTTTTTTTTACAAAACTTTTATTTATTTTGATTCTGTTGCAATTATTTTAATAATCTTATAGATTTTTGCTTTTGATAATGCAATTGTTATGTATGCAATTAGAATTTTAAAATTTCAATTAAAAAGTTAAAAAATACCCGATCATATTTCACGTAATCTTCAAATTTAAAACATATGTATTTGATTATAATTAAAATTCAAATTTTTATAAGTGTCTTTTAATCTTTAATATAATTAACAATTATTATTTTCAACCTAGCAGTATTTTCATTCTCTGTTTAAAATCCATAAACATAGCTTATTTGAAGTGATTTAGCATAATATAAATATTATGAAGCATGATAATATTCAATTATTTGTCTGAGTTCAATTTTCTAAAAAATGCAAAAATCTGTAAGGATTATTTAGTAAAACCAAATTTTGATTTCAGTTTATTAAAAAAGGAAAATTTCGAATTTTATTGCTCGAATCGATAAAATATGTGTTTATACTTTTTTAATTAAAACAAAAACAATTTTTCCATTTTATTTCATTTAAAATTATTGCCTTGCAAACTAAAATTGTTATAAAAAATAATTTTACACATTTTAAAAATATACCATCTTAATATTATATGATTCGTTATTTTATTTTATTATACTAATTAAAAATTCAAATTTTCAAATTTCAAATATAATATTTTGGTTGCGACTAAAAAAGGAAAATTCTAATTTTAAAAATTTACTTATTAGTTTAGTTTTTATTTGAAATTATATTTGTCAATTTTTAATATTATAACTTATAAATTTTCGTAATTTAAACAAGACAAATAATGTTGTTGCAGGTTGTTATCAAAAGACCATTCGAAAAATTCTAAAAATTTTTTTGAGTTCAATGATAGTAAAACTATATTTTATACTTAATTTTATATTATGTATCCTAATTTCTTTCAACAATAAGTTTATTTTAATCAAAATTTTGATTTTTTCAGGTTTGTGTGATTGTTATTTCGGTAGTTTTAATAAAAATTGAGTAAATATCATAATTTTTATTGAAAAAATCGTGAAACAAATCATTTGTAACAAATCTATTTAATCAAAATTTATCTACATACATTTTCTATTTGCATATACAAAATAATTTTCTAAAACTTTCATATATATTTCAATATAAATATGGTTTTCATATTCAGCGTGCACGATTGAAAATAACGTGGCATAAACATACCCTCTTCCATACGATGTAATTTTATTTTTATTGAAAATTAAAAAAAAAAGAAGAATGCCATTGAAGCTCATTAATTATATATTTAGTTAAAATTTTAACAATAATTTGTTATTGAACACAATATTTTACTATAAGTACTTAAAAATAGAATGTTAACCTTGTTTTTATTTGATTATACAAGGATTAACATTTTGAAAAAAAAATTCAATCTTTTATATTATGAATAGAAAACACATTGTATATGTACAAAACAACATTTCAGGTACATGGCAATGAATGTGCAATTTTTGGTAGAAAATCACATTAGAAAGTTAAAAATTTTTATAAAGAATGTGTATTTCAAAATTAACGTAATGAAAATTACAATAATTATTATCTTGAAATTTTACGAATTAATTAATTTTGTTTCATAAATAATTATTGTGTCTCATATATTAATTTAATGTAACTTGAACTTTTAAAAAGATTCGATATCGTTTTATGGATTTATATTTTATTGTAGAATATATTTTTTTATTGTAATTTATAAAACAAAATTTTGTAATTGTATTCAAAAAAAAAAAAACAAAAAAACTGTGTCATCTCATTATTGTTTCGTTTTTATAATTAAATTAAATTTGAAAAGTAGTTTAAATTGATTCTTTTTTTTTTTTGATAATAATAATACAATCTAAATTATTTGTTTTTAGTCTAGATTATATTTTAAAACTATAAAAATTCATAAATTAAATATTCTAATAATTCTAGATAATTAAATAATTATATTATGTAAATTAAAATTGAAGCAAAGAAAAACTTTTTTACTAAAAGATTAACTTAAAAGAAAAAGTATTTAAGAAAAATATATACATACATTATATAAATTATAAATATAAAAATAAATTGATGGTTTCGTAATTTTAAATTAAAGAAAGAACGGAAATGAAACACAATAATGTTATATGAAAAATACGAATATAAGAAAATTCTTAATGTGCCGTATTGAATCTGTAAAAAAAAAATTGAAATTATAAAATAAATGTGAAGCAAAAACTAAATAAATTACATTTTTAGGTGTACAAACAAGAAGAAAATGTAAAAAGTAATTTTATATAAACTTGTTAGCTAGTTTTTTTCGTTTTTTAAATTTTTTTTTTATGTACATAAATATTTTAAAATCAATTGGTACCGGCAGCAGCTAGATATATCTGATACCCAATTATTTATTTTAACTTCCACCCTATTATTTTATTTAACAAAAAATATATTGCAATTAAACATAATTTACAAAATAAGTACACTATGATTTTTCAACTGAAAAATGTTATTCGAAAATTAAGTCTTTAAAAAATTACGCCGCAATTTTTGCCGTTGCGAAAACTTCTTAAAACAATATTGCAAACTTATAAAATTCGAATATAAAAAAATTAATTCCAATTTTATTAATTCAAATTTTTATCAATATATTCTTTATTTTATACCATTTAACATAGCTTAATTTATTTCATTTTTTAAATATTTCTAAAAAAAATTCAAAACGTGAAATACTTTCATTATGTTAGGAAAATATAAAAAAAAAAAAATATTTATTTTTATAATTGTTAAAAACATTTTAATATAAATATTTAGCTACTGCCAAAATTTATTTAGTTTGATATATTAATAAAAAAGAAAAACAAAATAACGAAATAAAAACTAAATAAAATTTAAAAAATAAAAATAATAAAATGATAAAAAAAAAAAATATTTTGCTTTCACAATTTTAATTATAATTGATCTCATTTGTAAGTTTTATTTTGTTGTTTTTGTAAGTGAAAATATTAATAAATATATTATTATTATAAATAATTTTATTATTGTGAACAAGAAA